AGGGAGGCAAACCATAAGAAACTCTTAACTATAGGGAACAAACTGAGGGTTGCTGGAGGGGAGGTGGGTTTAGGGATGGGGTAACTGGGTGATGGGCATTAAGGAAAGCACTTGAAGGAGAGCAGTGGGTGTTATATGCAAGTGATGAATCACTAAATTCTACCCCTGAAATTAATAATACAGTGTATGTTAACCTACTTGAATTTAAATAAGACCTAAAAAAATAAAAACAGAAACAAAGAAAAACTATATAAAAGTTTCTGTGATCAAGCAAAGGAGACTAGAATTTAAAATGCTTTCTTTTTAATACCACTAACTGCATTTCCAAAAATGACATAAGTCACGTTTAAAGGTATCAATACCATAAATGTATCTTACAGTAGGAAATATAAGTATGAACAGCTTATATACATTTTGCTTTATTGATATAATTTTATACACATAACCTTATATACTATCCAATAATATCAAAGAAAACACCTACAAATGTACTTGTCTCGATAGTAGACAACAGTTTTTAAAATGAACCAAAATAGAGATTCTGGTTTCTCAGCTGCATGTGGTGGAATTATTTATGTATAAAGATCAAATCTTGGGTATTTACTACATTAAAGATATTTAACTTTGTTCCATGCCAGCCATGAGTGACAGTGCGAGAGATTCCACTGTGGAAAGAATAAAAATAAGGTTAAAAAATAGGTTTAAATATTTGAAAATAAGGCTTCAATTATTTCAGAACTGAAAGTATTTAATGACTTTCCAATTTTTAATTATTGATTATTTTAAATGTAAATAAAAATGATAATTGGTTTATTAAATACAAATTGAAAAAGTAGGATTTATTTTGTATTTCAGATTAATGTTGAAAACAAAACATCTGGCATTTCACTGAACAAATCACAGCTGTCCCCTATGTCTTAGAATCTGGAGTCAGTTCATAACAAAATGCTATGTTCTAACCTATGAATGGATCCTATTCGCATAACAATCATCCAATGCAAAAATGGACAAATAAGTCAATGATTCCTCTAACACATTTCTAACATAGTGTTTTTTAAAATGTTCAGATATTCTTAATTAGTACATCACAATTAGAATACGCAGAAAAAGGGAAGAGATTAACCCTGCACACTTAAAAAAAATCTTCTCCCTGTGACTCAATCCACAGACCTGTCTGCCTCACATGGTATTTTGAACTGTTACACATGTACAGGGGTACAGGAGTTTTTGAAATTGCATAAATAAATAAATAAATAAATAAATAAACCCCAAAATAATGCTTATCTTTTACAAAAGCTACACATAATAGTGAAGAATAGTGAAGAATGACTGAGATCTATTCTGCCATCTGCTTTATTTAATAATAGTTCTAGAAATCCACTGGTGTAACAAATCATATACTAAAAAGCAGTATCTTTAGTCTCAGTGTTTTACATCTGATATTCACTCACCACATTGTAATTCTGAAAAAGCAAGTCAAAGTATGGCACAACTGCTGAAGGATTTTCTAGGTTTAAATGGTGAAAAATTCTAATTCTTCATGAGATTAGTACCAAAACAGTAACAGTAGACTTAGCTACAAGAAAATATAAAAGCAGTAATAATTTAACATGGTATACTCACAATGGGGAAAGGATCCTCTGCAGACAGCTTTGTTTAAAACGGTTACAAGAAACATATGGCAGTTTTTAAAATCAGACTCCATTTTCTCTATAGATTCCATTCTAGGAAAGAAAGTACATTTCAATTAATAAGTATATAAAGGGTTAATGGGTAGGCTACAAAATATATTTGGAGTAATTTCAAATGTACTTCAGTTTAATGTCCTAAGTCTAAAGATTATGAAATATAAAATTTCCTGCCCCACTTTAAAATACAAGCTTTCCAAATATTTGAAGGAAAAAGTCATTTGGACATAAAACTGCTCTTTTTGGATGATACTGAGTTCCAAAGCTGGGATGACTGGGGATGTTCCCTTTTCCACTACATATTTCTGTATTTTTTATTTGTATATCTTCTTTTTGAAACAAAGAATACATTAAAGATATAAAACCCTACATTTTAAAATTATTAAGAAATGAGAGGGAAAAATCAAATAAGAAATCAGAGAGGGAGACAAATTGTAAGAGACTCTTAACTATAGGGAACAAATTGAGGGTTGCTGGAGGGGAAATGGGTGGGGGGATGGGGTAACTGGGTGATGGGCATTAAGGAGGGCACTTGTGTAATGAGCACTGGGTGTTGTATGCAACTGATGAATTATTGAACTCTACATCTAAAACAAATGATACACTATATGTTACCTAATTGAATTTAAATAAAATAAGTTATATAAAAATAAAATCCTAAAAAAATAAAAACTTTATTATGGGCAATATGGAACATACATAGGAGAGAGCACAGAGGACACTCACACACCCACATCCAGCTTCAGCAGTCATCTACTGCCATGAGGCCCTGTGCACAGCCCAGCCCCACCATATTTAGAAGCTAATTTGAGACATCATAGCCCTTCTGTCATAAATATTTCAGTGTGTATATATTAAAGATAAAGACTCCTTTTAAAACATAGCCACAACACTATTTGCTTGAAAATATTTAACAGTGATTTTTTAATATTATCAAATAAGCAGTGTTCAAAATTCATGTTGCTTTTGAAAATTTTCACTCTTCTGCTGTAAGTCTGATTCAGGATCAATTAAATTCCATAAATTATAATGGCTGATAATGCTTCTGAAGTCCTCCTCACTCCCTGTTATTTTTCTCACAATTTACTTGTTGAAGGAACTGAAACAACTCAATTTTAGGCAAGCATATGCAGCAGTGTTATTATTTTCTCCTCCACCTCACAGTGATATGGAAAGAAAAATGTGCTTTACATACTTTGAGACAGCCCTAACAAAGTAAGACTTTTATTTTCATACTGCCATTAAGAATTCTAAACTACACTTAGTATCTTCATTCAGAGTATTCTGATACAGCCATAGATTAAGATTTTAATTTTGATTAGCACTATCATGAATTCTCACCTCCTTACTGACAAGTACAAGCTATTATTCTAACAGTCTGGTCAATCAGACTTGCACTTTTATTTTAGGGAAGTAACAGAGGCATTATCATTACATTAATTTTATGAACAAGACAAGATCAAACTACTGAACTGTACATTCAGGTTAACAGTACAGGATAGTATTCTAGATACGAAGAGCAATCTCCTGGCTCCAAAATTGTCCTCTTGCTTCACAGCATCTGTCTTTCTACATGATTCTGGACAACAGTCTACCGAGACATCCAGAATTTGCCTTAAAATAATTCAGCAAGTTATGAATAGGGGTGGGCACCAAGAGTTTGTTATGCAGTTCTCTCTACTTGTGTGTATGTTTGAAAGTGTTCATAATTAACAAAACCTATACAAGTAAACATGAATGCAATCTAAGAATATTTACTTGTTCCAATTAAAATTTTCAGGTATTTCTTCTTGTTTTACAACTCATAAAAGAACGGCACACTTTTAATGCTGCCTATTAAAGTGAAAAATTTCAACTCTTCCCTTAATATAAGTGATATGTAATATATTGCCAAGATGTAAAAAGGCTCCCAGGTATGCTTTACAAAAAAGGGTTTTGAGAATAAAGCCAGTTTAAAATTTTTTTAAAATTTAAATTGAATTTAATTAACATATCCTGTATTATTAGTTTCTGTGGTAGAACTGGTGATTCTTCAATTGCATATAACACTCACTGCTCTCCTTCAAGTGCTTTCCTTAATGCCATCACCCAGTTACCCCATCCCTAAACCCACCTCCCCTCCAGCAACCCTCAGTTTGTTCCCTATAGTTAAGAGTTTCTTATGGTTTGCCTCCCTCTCTGTTTTCCTCTTATTTGATTTTCCTTCCCTTCCCCTATGTTCATCTGTTTCGTTTCTTAAATTCCACATGTGAGTGAAATCATATGGTATTTGTCTTTCTTTGACTGACTTATTTCACTTAGCATAATCCCCTCTAGTTCCATCCACACGTCATTGCAAATGGCAAGATTTCATTCTTTTTGATGGCTGAGTAATATACCACTGTGTGTGTGTGTGTGCGCATGTGTAAACACATACATACATATGCCACATCTTCTTTACTCATTCATGTCATTGGCCATCTGGACTATTTCCATATTTTGGCTATTGTGGACACTGCTGCCATAAACACTGGGGTGCATGTGCCCCTTCGAATCACTGTGTTTGTACCCTTTGGATAAATACATAGTGGTGCAATTGCTGGGTCATAGAGTAGCTCTATTTTAACTTTTTGAGGAACCTCCATACTGTTTTCCAGTGTCTGCACTGGTTTGCACTCCCACCAACAATGTAAGAATGTTCCCCTTTCTCCACATTCTTGCCAGTATCTGTTCTTTCCTGAGTTGTTAATTTTAGCCATTCTGCCTGGCGTGAGGTGGTATCTCATTGTGGTTTTAATTTGTAGTTCCCTGATGCTGAGTGATGTTGAGCATTTTTTCCTCTGTCTGTTGGCGATTTGTATGTCTTCTTTGGAGAAAGGCTGTTCATGTCTTCTGCCCATTTCTTGACTGGATTGTTTTTTGGGTGTTGAGTTTGATAAGTTCTTTTTTTTTTAATAAGATTTTATTTATTTGTCAGGAAAGAGAGAGAGAGCACAAGCAGGGGGATCAGGCAGAGGGAGAAGCAGGCTCCCTCCTTGCTCAGCAGGGAGCCTGATGTGGGACTCCATCCCAGGACCCTGGGATCATGATCTGAGCTGAAGGCAGATGCTTAACTGACAGCCACCCAGGCGTCCTGATAAGTTCTTTATAGAGTTTGGATACTAGCTCTTTATCTGATGTCATTTGTGAATATCTTCTCCCATTCCATAGGCTGCCTTTAGTTTTGTCGACTGTTTCCTTTGCTGTGCAGAAGCTTTGTATTTTGATGAAGTCCCAATAGTTCATTTTTACTTTTGTTTTCCTTGCCTTTGGAGACGTGTTTTGCAAGAAGTTGCTGTGGCTGAGGGCAAAGAGGTTGCTGCCTGTGTTCTCCTCTAGGATTTTAATGGATTCCTGTCTCACATTTAGGTCTTTCATCCATTTTGAGTTTATTTTTGTGTATGGTGTAAGAAAGTGGTCCAGTTTCATTCTTCTGCATGTGGCTGTCCAATATTGCCAACACCATTTGTTGAAGAGACTGTCTTTTTCCCATTGGATAGTCTTTCCTGCTTTGTTGATGATTAGTTGACCATACAGTTGAGGGTACATTTCTGGGTTCTCTGTTCTGTTCCATTGATCTATGTGTCTGTTTTTATGCCAGTACCATACTGTCTTGATGATTACAGTCTGTAATACAATGTGGAGTCCGGAATTGTGATGCCTCCAGCTTTGGCTTTCTTTTTCAACATTCCTTTGGCTACTCAGGGTCTTTCCTAGGTTCCATACGAATTTTAGGACTGTTTGTTCCAGCTCTGTGAAAAATGCTGGTGGTATTTTGATAGGGATTGCACTGAATATGTAGATTGCTCTGGGTAGCACAGAAATTTTAACAGAATTTGTCCTTTCAACCCATGAGCATGGAATGTTTTTCCATTTCTTTCATAAGTGTTCTATAGTTTTCAGAGTACAGATCCTTTACCTCTTTGGTTAGGTTTATTCCTAGGTATCTGATGATTTTGGTGCTATTGTAAATGGGATGGATTCCTTGATTTCTCTTTCTTCTGTCTCATTGTTGGTGTATAGAAATGCAACTGACTTCTGTACATTGATTTTATATCCTGCCACTTTGCTGAATTCCTGTATGAGTCCTAGTGGTTTCTGGGTGGAGTCTTTCAGGTTTTCAACATAGATTATCATGTCATCTGTAATGAATGAAAGTTTGACTTCTTTGCTGATTGGATGCTTTTTATTTCTTTTTGTTGTCTGATTGCTGTTGCTAGGATTTCTAGTATTATGTTGAACAGTGGTGAGAATGGACATCCCTGTCGTGTTCCTGACCCTAGGGGAAAAGCTCTCAGTTTTTCCCCCTTGAGGATGATATTTGATGTGGGTCCTTTGTATGTTGAGAAATGTTCCATCTCCTCTATCCCTACTTTTTGGGGGTTTTTATCAAAAAAGGATGTTGTACTTTGTCAAATGCTTTTTCTGCATCAATTGAGAGGATCATATGGTTCTTGTCCTTTCTTTTATTATTGTGGTCTATCACCTTGATTGATTTGTGATGTTGAACAACCCCTGCAGCCCAGGAATAAATCCCACTTTGTCCTGGTGAATAATCTTTTTAATGTATTGTTGGATCCTATTAGCTAGTATCTTGGTGAGAATTTTTGCATCCATCATCATCAGAGATTTGGTCTGTAATTCTCATTTTTGGTGGGGTCTTTGGTTTTGGGATCAAGGTAATGCTGACCTCATAGTGAGTCTGGAAGTTTTCCTTCTATTTCTATTTTTTTCAAACAGCTTCAGAAGAATAGGTATTAATTCTTTAAATGTTTGGTAGAATTCTGCTGGGAGGCCATCTGGCCCCGAACTCTTGTTTGTTGGGAGATTTTTGATTACTGCTTCAATTTCTTTGCTGTTTATGGGTCTGTTCAGGTTTTCTATTTTTCCTGTTTTAGTTTTGGTAGTTTACAAGTTTCTGGGAATGCACCCATTTCTTTCAGATGGCCCAATTTGTTGCCATATAGTTGTTCATAATATTCTCTTATAATTGTTTCTATTTTTTCGGTGTTGGTTCT